TGAAAAGTGTTAATATTGGAATGGAAACCCCTGGTGGATTTTCTTGAAGAAATGGTGATTGGATTACTACATTTCTGGCCAAACTTTTTGTCTGCTGGTCTTTGCTCAAATATCGTAAGAATTTGAAGCATAACTGAACTAAGCATTTAAGTGAGGTTTGGGGTTTTGGAAATGAAAAAACCAAATAGTTTGCAACATTTCTGATCTTTCTGGATCAGACTTGGATGCGTAGAGGTAAATACAAATATGCCTCAACTTACAGCCAAACTTTCCGTTATCAAACAGACAGTTGTTAAGTGGGTTTCGCTCCATTTAATGACATTTCTTGATAAGTGAATCATTTCATTGATAAGTGAATCACTGCTGTTGTTAGCAACATGATTTTTAAGTAAATCTGGCTTCCCATTGACTTTGCTTGTCAGAAGGTCGCAAAAGGATTGGCTAGTCTAAATAAAATAAAAATTAGGGGTGACACGATAGCAGTATTTCAGTATTTGAGGGGCTGCCACAAAGAAGAGGGGTTCAAATTATTCTCCAAAGCACCCGAAGGCAGGGCAAGAAACAATCAATGGAAATTAATCAAGGAGAGAAGCAGCTTGGAATTAAGGAAAAATTTCCTAATAGGACAATTAACCAATGGAACAACTTATCTCCAGAAATCGCGTGCGCTCCATCGCTGGAGGTTTTTAAAAAGAGACTGGACAGCCATTTGTCTGAAATGGTATTGTTCTCCTGCTTGAGCAGGGGGTTGGACTAGAAGACCTTCAAGGTCCCTTCCATCTTCCCTTCCCTTCCCTTCTCCATTCTCTTCTCCATTCCATTCCATTTGACCGTAGGACACTGCCACCGTCATATATGTCAGTCACCACGTGTCCAAATGTTGATCACATGACCACTGCAATGATGCTGACATGGTCATAAGTGTGGCAAACAGTCCTAAGTCATTTTTTTCAATGCTGTTGTAACTTGGAACAGTCAGTAAACAAATGATTGTAAGTCAAGGAATGTATGAAAAATCCGCCAATCCTGACCACATCCCCTCATGTATGTAGAGCAAGGTCAATGGCCCCTAGATGTGGGCGCTAAAAAAAGAGAGGCAGGACCATATCTTATGCCATGCTGGCCTTTAATCTTGGTTGACTCTTGAATTTGTACTGTTTTATGACATGCTGCTGTATCCTAGTTAGCTTTAGTGTCATCTATTTAATAGGTCTATATCAGGGGTGTCCAACCTTGGCAACTTTA